CCCCCCCAGCCTCTCCCCAGCTACAAGTTACACTGTAACAAGAACGCCCGCTCGGCCACCTGGTTTGCCAGGGATAACACCACCAACTTCCTGGGCTGGTGCCGCGCCTACGGCATGATAGACGAGACTTTGTTCGACTCGGAAGATCTCGGTGGGTCAAGGTCATGTGTTATTGTCTTTGTCTATGGAGTTGTTTTTTGTGTGTGTCAGATTTGATCTCTTTCATTGTGATTGAATGATAGATGATATGCAATGTGGTTACTAAGTCAGTCCAGTAGCTTAGCGAATGGTGATGGGGGTATTGTTGGGACCACAATGGTATTGTTATAAAGTGATAGTGGTGGTAGGGACAGTGGTATTGTCCTGGTGACTATGATGTTGTCATGGTAACAGTGGCAGTGGCGGTAGGGACAGTGGTTTTGTCCTGGTGACTATGATGTTGTCATGGTAACAGTAACAGTGGCGGTAGGGACAGTGGTATTGTTGTGTGATGTTTGTATTGTCATGGTGACGAAGCAGAATTGATCTGTTGACTCCTGAATGTTCTATTCCCGCCAAGTATTGTTCTATGGAACTGTTGTCATCTCGCACCCCAGTACATTCCCACCAAGTACCACTCTATTATATATAGATATAGAACTAGCTGGGCCCCCTTTCCATGAAAGCAAAGATCGGTGCATTAACATCAACTGAAAGTCATTGGCCTACTATAATTTACACTCTACTGGAATGGAACAATAAATCTTGAGAGATGCAAAAAATTAGAAGACTCTCAAAACAAAATGCGCCTCGCAAAATATCACTTCCGCACCGGATTTTCTAAAATTACAGAGACAGAAGCGTCGGCCTACAAAAGCGATCAGCGAAATAAAGAAATTTAGTTTTTTTCAGCAAAACTGTCTCAAAACTGAAAAAACGAAGGGCGTCATGATCTGGAGAATATTTTAAAGAAACTTTTGTCAAAAACCGCATGTCGATCGATGCTGCCATTAAAAAGCCTTTCGAATAGCGACATTCAGCCACCACAAATAGATACAGTGGAAACCATATATAACAGGCCCGGTAATAACAGGGATCCGGTAATAACAGGGATCCGGTAATATTCAAAATCCCCGTTTTTTCCTACTCTTTGTCTCTATTAAAAGTTATCGGCAATAACAGGGCCTCATCGGAGCCCAACCGGTTATAGCAGGGACCAAGGCTCGTTAACAAGGTGTAAAAAGT